CGTCCATGCTCATCCAAGCTGGGCAAGGTGGTAGCAACCGCCTCCTGCGACCTCCAACTCTGCCACAGTGGCAGCCAATCCACCTGCCCCCCTTCAAGCAAGTTCACCAAGTGATGCAGTTGTGGCCGCCCAACCTCAATGTCATTTCTATTAACAAATTTGGCAACCTTGTCTGCAAGTTCATTCCACGGCGAGCCCACATGGGCGGCTTCTTTGGCATGAGCTCCAAGGGCAAAGATCAGGCCTGACAGCTGCGGGTGAGCTACTCCCCTCACTTTCTGATTAGCCTGATCAACCGCCAACTGCAAATCACAATGCACAACTACTGTCTCCTTTGCAAGAGTCAGGGCATACCCAAGTGCGATCGCCACCCCATGCTGTTCAGCCGCAACATTGGTGCAGCCTGGAGCGCCAAGCGAGACTCTGGGTCCCTTCAAGCGAACTTGCCATGATGCCTTCAACTTTAGTGCCCGCACGGGAGCAACTGACAACAACAACCGCCCATGCGGCAGTGCCTTTTTCACACGACCCATCCGTGTAAATGTGCACTGCAACTGGGCCGACATGTTGCTCCGGTTGCCACCCCCACGCTATAGCAGTGTGCGGGTGCATGCGGAGCCCATCAGGCACATCTTCCCCCCAACCAGCCAACCAGCCTGACCGGATGTTGGGACCGCACAGAAGGAGGGGAGGGGAACTCAGAACAGGCACCATCATCTGTGGCATGTGGAGCCTTCACACGAGCGCCCTTATATACACCACCGCCATTGGCGCTCAAAAAGGTTCTGCTTTCTGGAAAACGGAAGCTGCTGTCACTTCCTTCTACCCGGGCAATCTCAATCAAAGCTCCATGGCGAAGACACGCCCGCGTGCGATGAGTGATCCTGCCCATAACCTTGGCGACGCACTTCCAGCCGCTCACATCCGGCAAGCCCACAGCCGCAATGACTTCATCGACTGTGGCGTCCGGCGGCACCGCCAGTGGAGATAGTTCTGCCATGCCCGCTCGTCTCCCATCTACCAAAACCGTAATCATCTCTCCTTCTTCATGAGGACCTTGGACATAAACTTGCCCGCCAGCTCCCCGAGGCGAAGGCGTGACCAAGGTATAGGCTGAGGGCTTCCCGTCAGCCTCAAAGAAACATTGTAGTCCCTGCTCGGCCATGGTCTCATCCGAATGCCAGTGGAACAGATACTGAGCTTCATGGACCGAAGTGGTCAGGAGCGTGGCCGTGTCCCCATCAATCACATGGACTGGATGCGAAGGATTCCACTCCACCCAACCATCCTGAAAAACCAAATCATCCACAACCAGGTACACTTCGGCAGCCAAGCCATAATGCGCCTTGAAGTCTCGGCCTGTCCACATTGCATGTACCCAGCACACCGAAAAGTCGCTGTTGAACGTGGTTTTGCACGATAACCGCCAGCCATCCAACTCTGCGTTGCTCTAGGTGGTTGATAACAAAGGTCTCAGGAGGCCACGGCCCCTTTTCATCCACACGGTCTATGCTCGCTCCCTGCAGCTCCTCGTGCAAGTCCCAGATGTCTCTCGCCGCTGTGGAGGCCCAGCAGAAGCTGCTACCAACTCCCATCAACCAGAACGTGCCATTCCATGGCTGCGCGTGCGGGCCTGTGTCAGGGGGCCCAAGGCCTCCACTGACCTCGGCCTTGTGGGGGCCTCTACGCCTGGTAACCTGACTACAAGGAGGATGTGAGCGATGATGCGGAACTCCTCCAAACAACTGTGAAACGCAATAACCAAAAGAGAATGAAGACCCGACAAAATGGTGATGAATTACATGCTGGCAGGGTAGGGGCGCCCAAAGGTATTGCCAGCAGTAAGAAAAGTAATGCAAGAGCCTTGGAGCCAAGGGAACAGGCTCAAAGGCCTCTTCTTCTTCCGACTCTTCCATGGCCCTGTCCTCGTAGGGCTGCCGAGTCGCCACAGGCCTTTGGTAGGGCGGACTGCCCCTACCACATGGTTCCTCCCACTCGATTTCCAGCAAGTCGCCCGTGCTTGCCTCCTTAACCGAGAGGTCATGCCGCTGCCAAGCGATCCCCTTTAGCCACACAGTGCATGGATACCGCAAGCAATACTTCTCCGTTCCCGTGATCAGCATGGCTGTGAGGCTGCTGAAGCGCCTCGGTGTCTTGACCACCGCCCACTCTCTGTGCACGATGACACCCCCTTTGCGCACTCGTATTTCACTCAGAAGCAGCTCCCGATTGAGGCCTTCATGCTGCCTGTCCAACTGAGTGGACACAATGTAGAAGTTCGGCACCGGCTCCTCCTCCACGATGGGTTGCGGCGTGACCTCCTGCACCTGGAGCGTCCGAAGTGCCCGTGCATCATGCCACAGCTGTCTTGCAGTGTCAAAGACCTTCGCCCTGTCTGTGCCCCTTGGCAACCACCAGAACCTACACTGCGGGTGCCCGAACTTGTACGTCTCAACCCGGTACCTATTGTGGTAGTCTTCGATGGTTTCCCGGCGGTGCCATGCTTCCTGCAGGTCCTGTGCCGTCCGAAAGACCTGGGTGAGGCTATGCAGATCCGGGTGTACCTCATCCGCAAGGTACTCCGCGGTTCGAGTGAAACTGTCTGTACAAGAAATCCTACTCGCCCTAGAGCTACCACCCATTTCTTTGACATGTGTTTCTTGCGTTCTCCGGACCTTCCATGGAGCCCCTTCCAAGGCCGAAGAACTATCAGCACACTTTCTTTGTGGGGTCTTTTCAGCATCTTGGTGGCTGATGTGGGCACTGCTCTCTGCTACTTCAAGCAAGCTAGTGTCTGGTGACTGTGAACCACTCATACTCTTGTAGCTGACATACACCTCCACTGAATCACCTCCTTCGCACTCTGTGAAGGTGACTCTTTTTTGTTTTCTTGACATGCAACACACTTTCGAGGACGGAATCTCCCCATCGCTTGAGGACCTGCAAGAAGGTGTGGAGCCGCACATCTCCTCGTTTTCAAGGAAGATCTGCCAGCGCAGGTCCAACGCCAGATTCCGTGCCGCGAAGAGTGACTTGTAATCCGGCTCCGTCCATACAGTATGTAGCATGGGGAGCCACGAGCACACTCCTCCTTCTCTCCAACAGGCGTGTTGAAGTCTTGGCTCTTGACAATCACTGTCCTGTGGTGCCCCAATGGGCCAACCAAAGGCTCCTCCTTTTTCTCTTTCTGTTGCTCCTCCAGATTGACCGCAGCGGCTCCTTCTGCTTTGGGGTTCGAGGGGAAGGGCTCCATGGATCTCCTTCTGGGGGATCTCTCGCGATCCTCTGACGATCGGGCGGCGCCCTCCTTGCGCTCTGCCAAAGTGGCTGCACTCTTGATCAGGGTATCCTGCAGCTGCTTCTGCAACTCGCCCAGATCCGGCGGCTCGATCCCCGATATCTTGACCTCTGTCACCAGCTCCTCGTCGTCCATGTCCTGGATCTCGTTCATGACATCCAAGTAGGCCATCGTCTCGGACTCCGTCATGATGCCTTCGCTGTCGCGACCTGCGTGCTCGGTGAGTCTTTTGAGCTCGGCCCGTGCATTGACAATCGTGGCTTTCGCCTCCTCTGCCTTGTTGTCCAGGTCCGTCATCTGCTCCTGGTAGGACGCAAGTTGATTCTTCCATAGGAGCACCGCCTGCTTGAGGTGCTCGCGCCAGTTGGCTTTCAGTCTTTCCTGTGCAAGGCTGGTCTGCTGCTGGACTTTTCGCGCAACTCCCAACTTGGATGTGAGAGCGTGCATTTGCCGCGTCAAGTGGCGTCCTGACTCCCGTTCTTTCCGGAGCACAATCTTCTGGAGATCGTGCGGCATTTTGTCCAAACTGCCAAAGGCGTCCCGGATCTCCTGCAGGATGGAGTGCTCCGCCGGGTCCTCCATCGTGAGGACAGTACCCGTCAGGCTGAGCGGGGGTGGCTTCCATTCCGCTTGCGTCCATGTCGCATAGCCTGGCTCGGAGCTTTTCGTGCTCCCCCAGCTGCCCTTGTTCTGCATGCCCTGTGACTTGCCCTTGCCCTTGTCCTTGCCGGAACCCTTGCCCTTGCTCTCCTTTCGTCTGCGAGAGGACGATTTTCGTCTTCTGGCCGACCCTTCTTCTAGCCATGGATACGATGTTGTGGCCAGCGACCACGTCCTCGTACCTTCCTGCCACGAAGACGACCCCGGCGATGCCCAAGACAAACCACATCCTCCACAGAAGGCCGCACTTGCTGGATTGTTTCTCCAGCATTGTTGACATGCCCATGAGTTTTTCATGCCGCTGCATGCAAACCGATACCGCGGTCTGCTATGGTGCCCTTGCAGACACCTCAGAGCTTCTCGAAGATCTCCCCGACCGTCCTTGCCCTCCTGGTAGTCCCTGACCACCCGCCGCGAAACTTGCCGAAGTTGTCGCTCACGACGATGCCAGGAGGGTTCGGCCGTGTTGGGCGAGGCTAACAAAAGACCTCTAGGGCTCTACTCTTCTCCTGCGAGCCCTTGGTGCACCTACCCCAAAGTGGTACCATTGGTTTTGACCCACAGCCATATATAGATATAGTATGAACATTTGAATAGGTTCACTCTGATGATTTCACCCATCGTTCTGCGCGACAAGCAGGTGTCTGCTGCCGGCTTTTCGGGGGGTTCAGAAAGAAGGACTCCTGTAAAGAATGGGGAGGTTGCCTTTAAATGCTTGTTTGGGATAAGATTAAGATTGAACAACGAAACAACGACAAAACACAATCTTCCCCCCTTACCCCAAATTTGAGAGACGGCACACCTCAGCACATCCTACTTTAAGACCGCCAAAGCAGGTTCCCAACAGAGCCCGAAATGGGTTTGAACCCAACATCTGGGTCTTTTTCTCTCTTTTAGGAATCGGACCCCCCCCCAAGTGGCTCCGGTGTTCCTTTTAGCCTCCCTTAACCTATGCAAAGTAGCCTCCGCAAAGACACGCCCCACTTAAGTCTTGGCTTATTCACCTGGGCCCCGATGCCTAGAACCCATGTGAATCGCTCTCCTCCAAGGCGCGCCGCGGAAGAGCAGAGAGGGTGGCATAGCGCACCTCGGTGGCTTGGGCCCTCGCTGGGCGCCGCCTAACATGTTCTACTTGTGGGGTGAGGGTGGGGCGGGAGTGGGGGTTCTTGCATGGAGTAAGGCTATAGGGTTGAGCCAACCCCCTGTTTACAGCAAAAAAGCACCTATTGCTTCAAGGGGAACCAGTTCAAATGTTGCGGGTTGACAGTTGACCAAGCCATAGCCCTTGGAAAACCACAAGAGCGGCCGCTCCCTTCGTAGTTCCAGGATGGATTGCCTTTCAACAGCCCGCTAGCGGTTGGGGGGGGGGGGCGTTTTGGTAAGGTTTTTTTGAGCCACAGCCTTTTGTTCCCCATGTGCCATCTAGAACCAGACCTTCAACTCCCCAATCCAAACTGCGGGTTCGCGGATAATCGATCAGAAAAGCAAAAGCGAGGTACCACCAGGCACTTCTGTTTGCGCAAGGAATATGGCCTTCACACCCCCCGTTGAAACAGGCAGGAGCCGTGCTACTAAAATGGTCAGTCCTTTTCTGAGGGGTTTTGGGTCATCAAGTTTCTAGGGGTCTTGAAAACCTTCCTTTGCGCCCGAAGGATCCCTTCAGCCACTTCCCCACCCAACACCCTCCCCTCCTGGCGAGGGAAATCGTTGTCGGAACATTTGGATCGGGCAAACGAAACCCAAACCACATGCGTGTCTATTGGCTTCGATTCACTCCTAAAAGGGGGTCATAATAAAAGCTTGCCAAAGACCAGTTGGGAAAATGGTTCCCTTGCTTTCCTCAGGGATGGCATCAGTGACGCTTGCCGAAGGTCGCTTTGAATCCTGAGGGCCAGGCCCTCTTGGGACCGTACTTGATGAGGTTCTGCGCCAACTTCTGGACCTGTTTGTCGGTTGAGTCGCCCGGGTGACCGCTCCAAATGGGTCTGCCGATGATCCTGAACATGGGGTACTTCCATTTGCGAACATGCTCCCTGGAGAAAACAAAAAAAACTCGTTCCAGGTGTCAAAACTATCTGGGAAAAGTAATCTATCTTTGGAAGGGTATACCCGCAGCGCAAAAAAAAGAGTCCATCCTACGCCATACCTGCAAGTTCTACCCGCCTTAAGTGCCAAAGGGGAACCTCTTGGCCACTTTCGATTGCATGGTGTTGAAGCATTTTGAAAATCCACTTCCCCGATAGGTGTCTCGCTGGGACGTTCTCAATAAGCTTTACACTGAAACTGCAGACGCTTTCTTCGAATCGTGATCATAGCCCGGGACGTTCTCGACCTCAAAGCTGGATACCCAAGTAGGTTGGCGGGCAGACTGAAGTACAGGGTGTTGGCCAGGTATCTGGAGCGGGCTGCTATTAGCTCAACGGCACTTCACCAGCGCATCACCACAAGCACCTTAAGAGCGCCTCAATAGCACCTCAATAGCTCTCAGAATCACACCTCAATAACGCTGAAGAACACTGCCTCAAGAGTGCCTCAGTAGTGCCTGCAACTCAATACATGGCTCCACTGGAGTGGAGTAGGTTTCTTGGGCTTGTGTTCAGGCTACCGGCCGAAAATCCGGGTAGTGGGACACCGGGTTGGGTCAGCGTGTGAAACTCCTCCCAGCCCCCCCCGAGCAAAGCTCCCTCCGAAGGGAGGGGCGGAAGGGAGGTGGGGGCGGGGGTACCTGGAGGGGGTTGGTAGACACCGATGACCAAGATGAACAGCCCCTGTTGTCGGAGGTGTGACTTTTTTTCAAACAAACACGGCCAAAGTGCCGACTACAAAACGCTAACCTACCTTGAGTGCTTTTCCGTGGGTGCCCTTTTTTGGAGGGTCCCAAACCGCAATTCTACTTTTTTATACCCCTTTTTCCATTTTCAGACTCATGGCCGGGGTATGGGTGTCTCAAAACAGGGCAACTCCATGGCCCTTCGATGAATGCCTTTTAACGAACCAAAGGACCTTGAAAACAAACAAAAACCATACTCCATGGAGCACCCCCCTTTTTGCCCCAAAAACGTACCCTTCATCACAAAAATACCTACGAGTACCCAATTGCTTCAAATAGCTTTGCTCCATGGCTGCGACATATTGTTGTTGGCCGAGGCACGCAGAGCTGCAGAAGAGATGGTGCCTGCATAGTCGCTTTGGACCTGGCGATACCCGCCGCTTCTCAAGCAACAACCATGGGTTGGTGGAGCCAGGTCATGATTGTATCTCTACGTGCTACATGATACTTTGTTACACTATGTTACAGTACCTCTAGGTTGTTTCTACCTTTCCGGTAGTCAGTTTCCTTTGGGTATTTTCTACAGTGGCATCTTCTTCCGCGCCCATGCAGAGCTGGTACCCTTTTCCGGTTGGTTTGAAGGAAAAACAGAAATCCATTTGGGGGGTCCCCCTGTTTTGACACATTCCCACTTCCCATTTCCTGAGTCTCAGAAGCCCAGCGGATGTCCACAAGGCACCCCATGTGTGTGTGTGTGTTGTGTGTGTGTGTGGTGTGTGTGTGTGGTGTGTGGTGTGTGGTGTGTGGGTGTGTGGTGTGTGGGTGTGTGTGGGTGTGGGGGTGTGGGGGTGTGGGGGTGTGGGGGTGTGGGGGTGTGGGCGTGTGTGGGCGTGTGGGTGTGTGGGTGTGTGGGTGTGTGTGGGTGTGTGGGTGTGTGGGTGTGTGGGTGTGTGGGTGTGTGGGTGTGTGGGTGTGTGGGTGTGTGGGTGTGTGGGTGTGTGGGTGTGTGGGTGTGTGGGTGTGTGGGTGTGTGGGTGTGTGGGTGTGTGGGTGTGTGGGTGTGTGGGTGTGTGGGTGTGTGGGTGTGTGGGTGTGTGTGTGTGTGTGGGTGTGTGGGTGTGGGTGGGTGTGTGGGTGTGTGGGTGTGTGGGTGTGTGGGTGTGTGGGTGTGTGGGTGTGTGGGTGTGTGGGTGTGTGGGTGTGTGGGTGTGTGGGTGTGTGGGTGTTGGGGTGTGTGGGTGTGTGGGTGTGTGGGTGTGTGGGTGTGTGGGTGTGTGGGTGTGTGGGTGTGTGGGTGTGTGGGTGTGTGGGTGTGTGGGGGTGTGGGTGTGTGGGTGTGTGGGTGTGTGGGTGTGTGGGTGTGTGGGTGTGTGGGTGTGTGGGTGTGTGGGTGTGTGGGTGTGTGGGTGTGTGGGTGTGTGGGTGTGTGGGTGTGTGGGTGTGTGGGTGTGTGGGTGTGTGGGGGTGTGGGTGTGTGGGGGTGTGGGGGTGTGGGGGTGTGGGGGTGTGGGGGTGTGGGGGTGTGGGGGTGTGGGGGTGTGGGGGTGTGGGGGTGTGGGGGTGTGGGGGTGTGGGGGTGTGGGGGTGTGGGGGTGTGGG